TGGGCGGAGCCTAAGATGCTAGTCGCTAAGCAATGACAAGTAAGACGTGTCAAATACGGGACGATATAGAAGTCGGAGGCGACTGGACCCAACGTATATTATGCAGGCAAAACGCCATGTGTCAATGGATGTGCAGTCAGTAAAACACGTGGAGGTTTTGTAGGTTAAAACAACCGTAAGATACAATGGTGCAAACTACTGAAAGAACATGTTCTCCGGTACAATCCAAGGGCCTCCCCTAGAATGCTGAAGGATGGAAGCCTTCGATGGAGCTGCTAGTGGGGTAAAACAAAAGGTGACGATATTTTGTGTGTTTATCGATGTTACTAGATGCGGAACATAGTTACCGCGTATTTTATTCTACCTGTACTGCTTCGCGACTGACGAGAGCAATCGAAAGTTTAGCATATCACAATCTATGTCTTCTAACTGCGTTAATGAACTGGTTGAAGAAGTCTGTGTTACAAGTTTTTTTGAATCGCCGAGAATGACTCCTTAGAGGGAATGACGCTCCCTAAAACAGCGTCGTCGACGTATTTTTATCCAATATGAAGTATCACATTGGCTTGTGACCTCTCCATTCCGTGTCACCAAAACCACGGATTATTCGTCGGCTATAGCACGCTGAGCTGCATTAACTTCTGCTACCTACACTCATTATTCACACGCCACCGGTTCACTTGTTCCTAATCATTGTTATCCATAACCAGCTGATTCCTGTTTCCATGATTCAACTCCCAATGGTTTCGTGGAAACCAAGAGTTCCTCCAGCAGCCCTGCTCAGCCTCGGTCCTCGATCCGCCTGCCATGCTTCAAGATTCGTACGCTCATGCAGATCGGGCAGCAGTCTGGTCTTGAGAGCCAACGATGTTTGCTGTCTTTCCGAAACACACTTATAAGACTCCAGTACTGTGTTTAAGTTGAGATCTCCCTCTGACCACAGAGCCATGTTGCACCTACGTCTATCTGATGACACAGAGATAGCTGCGGCAGGGTTGACTGGTGATGGTGTAGCGCTAAGCAACCACCCCGAAGCCGTGCTGATGTACTGGTTTCTGATTATTTGCTGATTGTCCGCAGTTCGGCTTCGGAGATCATGCAGAACCAAAGATATCGTGAGGAGAGACGCAATTTGTTAGTGGTCTCGACTTACGCCTCTACTGACTGCAGTCCCGACTCGTTTAAGAAAGCTTTTTACTGTGAACAAAACAGCTCTTGGCAGCGCTTGAAAATTCGATGTTATTATCCTTGCTGGATCTCAGCACGGGTCGGTCGTCTATTGTCATGAGAAGGTCACCTCGGTGTTGGCCATTCACTCACTGAGAGCCGCTCGGATAATGGGGAGAGACTTCTTACATTATGCGGAGTCAATGGTTTATTTCTCTCGAGCTCCATCTGCCGGCATTCGAAGTGATGTTCCTCTATTTGGCGATCACCTTCTGCATCCCAATCTTGGTCTCAAAGTGATCAATTCGTGAGCAATTTAAAATGGCGCAAAAGTGTAGCGGATTGAAAAACAATCTGGTCCATCTTTCTAATCACAAACTATGCTCTTGTTTGTGAGAATATCTGCATTAGATTTGGAGGGCCTCTAATAGCGAAGCACTGTAACATAGACACAAATAAACTATCTAATCTCTCGGTTTAGCAGAGCTATCAAGATTTCATAGCCGATGAACCTTGTTGTCACCCTCTGCAAGACATTGATGAACACTAGACGGAATTGCCGGGCACTTGCGCGCAGTCAGTATGTGGTCTTACTCGGCAACCTATGAAGGCCTGGATCTCCACGCGCTCCTTAAATCTATTTGATCGTCGCGGAGTCTAACCGGAATGAAGTGCGGCGTTCTGTCAGTCGGCAGCTCAAAGGAAGCCTATACCGTTATCAGGTGGTCTCAGCGCTATTCCGGATTGGAGACATCTGCTCTGTTTGATAATACTCGCAAGCTCTTTCAGCTAATCCGAAATACTAGCCAAAAACCTCTGGTGTCCGTGAAACTATTCGCAAAGCTGATGGTTCGACGATTGTTAACTAACAGAAAGGCTTGCATCACTGGGTCGACTACTTTCACTCACATTTCAATTGGCCTCCACCGTCTATTTGTATGCCATGAGAACAAAGCCGCTCGTCTTGAGTCATTACACTTGATCCGTCCAGTGAAGTAGAAGTTTGTCTTGCGATTCGCCATCTGAGGCGATTTTAGGCTGACGACTCAGACGGACTTGCTCCGGAGATGTACAATTATGGAAGCGCAGTTACCTCAAGACAGTTAACCCCATTGGTCTTCACAATTTGACAAAAAAGAAAGGTTCTATCTGTCTATCTATCATTAAAAGGCCTAGCAACCAATATCTGCGAAGCTCCACTTCATGATTACAGCATGCATAAGGACTTAATTTGTTTGACTCGGGCGTCTGCAAAGCAATAGTTTTGATCGCCACTTCTCATTCAAATCGGTTTCTGCATGAGGAAAGCAGACTCGAGCCTAAATTTACCAGGGTTGGTATTGAACAAAATCTAGAAACTACACTTCGTTTTGTAGCTTCTTCTCTCAATGTGTTTCCGGTTTTCCCTCAAACACCGGTCAAGTATATGGGTCTATAATGATGCCAGAGTTCAAAGGCAATGCATCATTAGCCTCAGTATGTGTCATACCTCCCAAATCAGGATGGCGAGAGAGAGTTATCTGATGACAAATAATGGCATTAAACCTGGGTTATAAATTTAGATAAAATCCAAACCAATTTTGGGACGCATAAATGCTTTTGGTCGTAACCTGCATCGGTTGCTGTTATAAGTTTCACTGGTTGCATTTGAACGCGATAATCGCTGCACAAAATTCATGGAGTCAAATCAAATGGTAAGAGACGATAGGAATTGGCAGATAATCAAATACACGAAATTTGTACACTAGCACCACAATTTAATTACCTAAAAGCGTTTGCACTGTGTCCAGCATTTTTCGAACAGGAACCAAAAATTGTTAATGGTGGTACTTTGGAACTGTGTGAAACGCACGTAAAATTTTAAGACAGGCAGGACACATATCTGAAATACGCGAAATGTTCTCTACGAAAGAAACAATAGAAATTGTAGAGAAGTAATATAAATGAATGTTGTCGAAACTTTCAACTAGACGATTCCGGTTCGCCTCTTGATAAATAAGAGAGAATTCTGACAACCCAAAACCGATTACGCGACCGGGCTCCGTTATTCGAAACGTAAGAGCGAGCACGTAGTAGAAAACCGCGAATATTGTGCGGTTAATTCATTGAATATGACTATTATCCCGAATAACTACGAGTGGCGTACACTAAAGCAGATACATTAACAAATATAATCCGACCGGTATGGGAGTTCATAGGTATTTCAACCACTAACATTTAACCCGTGTTGAGTTTTTCAGATGGATAGTACATGAAGTACGAAAGGCATTAGTGCGCGAATTCAAATGATCTATTGAGAGGAGTTCTTACCGCAGTGGAAGTTGTAACGTTTTATAGTTAGATGGAAATGTATGTTGTACACAACCTATGGAAGTGCAGCAAGAAGAAATAGTATGTTGCCTAAAATTGAGACTTCCATATTCCAATCCGTGGAGTGATCACGCCCAAAAGCTTACATGCACTGGTCTACACTAATTACCCTAGGAAAGATTCTTTGGAACATCTACTGTGATCGGCACTGTTATCGAAATACTGCAAGTCATCATATCGGTATCAAGGGAGAAACGATTTGTATAGAGAAACAATTTGGAGCCCCTGTATTTTGAGTGTAAATATGCAAGAGTGATATGCTGATTATAAAATTTGCCCTAAACCATGAACACTTCGCTGCCATATAAGCAAATTAAATTGGATGCACTGCACACAAATTCAGACCTATCTGCTGCTAACAAATGCCCCCCATCAATAACATAATTTTTAACAGGTTGATTACATGGGAGTATGTGTGTTCTTAGGACACTGGATGAAAAGCTTCTTGTCAGCCGCCTAGAGAGCTGGGAGACTTAGTAGTAACAAGGCTACTTTCTTGATTAGAATTTCGTTTACACCGAGTAGAGAAACAAGGCGAGCAACACTGACTTATCTTCGGGTATGTGGTTTAAATCCGCGCAGCTACTGGGGACTGGCAAGTCATTTGGCATGCAGCAGTCAGAATATGCTGCAACGGAGCACCTGCGTGGGACTCACGGAAGACTCGTAAAGGTGTACCGCAGATGGTGTGGAAAAGTTTATTCTCATCCACATATCACATTTCGTCAAAAGATGGTAGCCGTCTGTCAGTTTCATAAAAAGACAGGAGAGCCGGTGTGTCTAGATTTGCAGCTTTAGTGTTTGATGAAACGTACGGTGATAACAAGTCAACATTTTCGTCCATAGGATTCTCGTTTGTACTCATGGTGGATAGCCTTGTGGAAGATGGCTAAACTGCGCTGGGCATCTAGTTGCGCTTGCAAAGGCACAATTCACAATTCACAAATTTACAAGTTAATTACAATGTACTTTTGCTATGGAAACTGTACAAAAATGTAGTAAATTGATGAGGGTCAGTTTTAAAGAGAAAGGATGTTCCTTAATTCGAGTGGAACATGTGTTATTCTAGCAAGTTTAAGCTTCACGTAAACTTGTAACGAGTAGATGATTAGGAAAACTAATTTCTAAACCATAAAATAGCAATGATAATTTATGTTACATTGTTGAAAGGAAAGCAGGTACGTATGCTGTAAAAGCAAATACGTGTCCGATTTGCGCGCAGTGACTTACATTACTAAGAGAAAACAGGCGGCAGCTTTATGAAAAAATATGGTAGTTGTTTAAGTAACTGCATCAACATAAATTGCCTTTAAAAGTAAATCAAAATAGGATAGTATGGTAGGTTAGTCAGAGCATAATATATAAAACAACATTTAAACACAAGAGCACACAGTGTCATGTTATGATTCTTGACATGTTTACAGATAAAGTCGCCAAATTTTAGCAAAAATACACTTACAAACCTCGCCGAATTCTCCGACAAAATGACCTGTATTCCATGCATAACGTTGACTTCTTTGCCCAAAGCTTTCATGCACCGGTATTTGTTAGCTGTTAGAAAAACAAATCAAATTGATTCGCGGAGAGTGGCCCAGAAGAATTTTGTACACAGACAATCCCAGTCAGCGACCAGGTGCTGCATCTGCTACTTCCGACCAAACATCAATAAGTATAATACTGTTCCAATCACTCGCGTTTGCTTGCAGGTATGGGCAATGTCCTTAAGGTATATTAATGACGTTCTGCACCAGCATCCATTAGTAGATGCAGCGTATCTTGCACAATTCAACACTTCGACATCATTTAAAGTTCTGTGTGACTTTATGTTGCTTGTAATAATCTAGTCGCGTTTTGAGCAATGATATATTGTATAGCTGCTATGGTAATGAACCTAATGTATCGCTTTGAAAGGCCACGAATAAGAGAGGCTGGCACAATTACATGGGGCTATCCCAGCACCGAAAATGGGTAAATCATGCGCCCACGCTTGCAGCATCCACATAATTACATTAAGAGACACCGTTGCTGCGCTCGTTCTGGTAGAAATACATCATTCGCCTAATATGATTCGGTTAATTTAACCAGCCGCATCCTGAAAATTACTATGTGTGATACAGAGATTTCCTGCTCTTTTAAATCATAAATATAAAAGTTGACTCTTGTTATGATACGACTTTCGCATGACTGATCCATACTTAAGCAAAACATTGCAAACGCACCATATTGTATGTCGAGGTACATGATTATCACAATAGGGTAGACTTCACCGCCGAGTCCTAAAATTATGCTACCAAGAGAGATGGCATTAGACTTCGAATTTAAGGTCATTATCAACAAGCTCATCAGCTTGATTTGCAAGGTACTTTGAACAGTGGTATCGGAAACCGCGTTGAATATTATATTTAGCTTGGCTAGGAAACAACTAAATCAGTGTTACTCAGCTCAAAGATATTAGTGGATTTGCTTCCTCACTCCGAACTGCAAGCTTTGCTAAATCAGTACTTGGAAATGGTCATTCGCTATCGTAAAGCATAACGAGATTTGGCAAGATATAGGATCGATTATGAGACCTAAAATCCGTGTGCCCCATTATGGTCAATGCTCCTAAGTATATTAAACAACAAGGTTATAAACGACATCTCATCTTTCATAGAGAACACGGCGTCGAGGAAAGGACTTCTACTAGATTAAATGCTACACATTATACTTAACTGCACTAACAAATGCAGCTTTTGTTGGAGGTTGAAATGGTACACGTTCCAGGAGTCTACTGCAGAAACGCAGCTGGTGTTCACTGTGATTCATGTCCCGTAAATTTTCGAGCGAAGCACAGGAGAACTGATCAGGATCGTAAAACGGAAAGCGATAAGAGGTAGTAAAATGTGGGCCAACAGTCGATAGCTAAGTTTTGCGATTACAACCCAACCTACGCTTTCCTCAAACCTTGTTTCATCTTACATCTGGTTAGAAGGTGACCGCGTATACGCAGATTGCTCTGAAGCAAACGGCGCCAACTTATCTGTGGTACTATTGAGGTATTTGGTAATCCTACAACAAAGCTGATTTTTATAGACTCGAATTGCTTACCATATAATAGAAGCGGCGCCAGACATTTGTGCAGGGTCGAAAGGGTTACTCCAAATCTGGAAGAACAAGGTACGGGATATTGATTTTAAACAAGCAGCTGATCAAATTGTGTATCTCACGATACTGCTTAGAATGCACCCTCATTGAGGCTAAACTTCAACAAACACAAGCAGCGGACGTTCCTTTTCTATGAGAGCTGAGCGACGGTTGGTGAATAACCTCGGACTGTTTGAGTGTATCTACTACAAGATTGTTTAAAGGTAACAGAGCAAACGAGTTCAGTTGACTAAGCTAAGGTTCGTTTTAGGTGCAATACTGTTGTTCTGATTTCGGTGGAGTGTAACAATTTGGCGACGGAGGTTATTCTGGTTGCTCATGGCAAATTCATTAACGGCACCCCAACCCTTTTGTAATTCTTCTACTGCGAGGCCTACTGCGCAACAATGGTTGCAGTGGAAAACTACATTTACTAACCGTTGATTTCCTTTTGCACCTCGGCGGAAATTGCACGATTGATGGTGCAGCGAAAATTAAATTGCTACCCCACCATCTCAGCATCGAGGGCCAACGACATTTCGACAGTTTGTAATTACATACGAAGCGAGACATAAAAACTGTGTTCTATTCCCTGGACCGAATAAGGGGAGAGAAGCCCCATGTGTATACTGCTCGGTATAAATTCAGCACCATGCGACAACAGTCAAATGAGACTGTAAATGAGTTTATCTCTCGTCTCTTTACTGCTCTCCCTGACTGCGCCTAAGACCAAATCATTCCAGCCCAGTTCAAAGAAGCGGTGATGTTACAAGCATTAATCATGGATGTTTTCGATGAGAAGGCACGAGAACGCCTGCTCTCCGAAAATGAAACGCTACTGACGTGGGAAAAAGGATGTGATCTAGTCCGACAGCGTGCCAACCTGGTCCAGGAACTAGCCACATTTCCCTCTTCAAATCAATCAATCTCACATGACATAAACAAGGTCTACCAGACTAACCGTGGATATGCCTTACCTCGCCCCGTACAGCGCAAGTAATTCCGTTGTTACCGTTGCGGGGACAATCACTTGTCCCTGACTGACTGTCCGCACATTCATTCATTATGCAGATTTTGTGAAAAAATGGGTCATATTCAGAATGTGTTTTTTTCCAAGTGGAAAGAACTCGTCCAGGAACAATACAAGGCTACAAACTGCGTTATCGATGAATTGCACCAGAACTGGATTAACACCACAACCGTTTTAAGCGCACCATTACAGCAGAAAAACCGTTTGTCGTATCCGTCCAAGTAGACGAACAACCGGCAGAGTTTGAAATTGCTACCGGTTCCGCAGTCACTTTGATCCAACCAGACGTCTGATCCCAACTTCCAAAGCTGTGTCCACCGAACATACAGTTGCGATCTTAAACGAGACATATAATGAATGTGCTTGGTACCTTCAATGCACGCATTTCTTACGGTAATTCAACGAGTCATATGTGTGTGCACGTTTCTGGAGGACCGGATCCGAACATCCTGGGCCGCGATGGAATTAAGCGCCTTCCTGATATAATGTCGAACGTCAACCTGGTGAAAGACAATCCGCAGTTATCCGAGATTTCGCAGAAGCATGCAGTCTTATTTGATCGGTAGAGCACAGGACTTTTAAAGAATTACAGTGCACAGCTGGTATTGAAACCACAGAAAAAGCCGCGGTTCTGGAAAGCTAGCACTGTTCTCTATGCACTCCGTGATAAGGTTGAAAGTTAACTGCGCCGACTCCATTTGGAAGTTACCGTTGAACCCGTCCAGTATTCAGGCTTGGCATCCCCCATTGCGCTAGTATTAAAGTGCGATGGTACGATAAGAATCTGCGGGGATAACAAGGTTACGATAAACCAAGCTTTAGAATTAGACCGATATCCAATACCAAAGATTGAAGACATTTAGGCTTCACTTTCCTGTGGTGATCTATTTACAAAACGAGATATGAATCACGCCTACCAACAAATTGAACTCGATGAGGAATCACGCACTTACACCTTCATTATTAATCATCTCGGATTATTCCGTTCTAAAAAGAGGAAAGTGTGAGTTCATTGTTCCGAGTGTACAGTATCTTGGCTATCGGTTGCCTCCTGAAGGACTGTGCCCACTGGAAGGAAAGACAAAGGCGCAACGTGAGGCGCCAGCACCCAAAAGTCTTCATGAATTGCGGTCGTTCCTCGATGTTGTCATTCAGTTTTCCAGGTTTATACCATCGACAGCAACACATCTGCATCCATTTTACCAACTACTACGTAAAAACCAAAGCTGGAACTGGTAAAATACTCATGAAAATGCATTCAAAGCGGTCAAGAAGCTCTTAGCATCTACAAGTATTCTTGTGCATTATGATCCGCAGAAGCCTGTTGTTCTTTCCTGTGACGCCTCATCTTACGGTCTCGGAGCTGTTTTAATGCACAAATTACCGAATGGCTCACAACGTCCCGTTGCTTATGCTTCAACAACCCTGACACCAGCAGAACGGAACTACTCTCAACTTGATCGAGAGGCAGCCGCTGTCATCTTCGGCACCACTCGATTTCACCAATATTTACTCGGGCGAACTTACGTGAACCATACGGATCATAAACCTCTTGTTTTCCTCATCGGTCACGAGGAAGGCATTTAACAAATGGCTTCACCTAGAATGGTACGTTGGTCACTTTTTCTTTCTGCGTATGCATACAAAATTCAGTACGTTCCAGGCAGACAGAATACCATCGACGATGTTCTTAGCCGGCTTCCCTTACCAGAAACACCATCAAAAGAAATTATTCCACAAGAGCTCATAAACCTGGTCCAACATTGTAATGATTCCCCAGTCACATGTACAGACATACGTCAGAAAACTGACAGAGACACTGTTCTATCGTTGGTCAAACGCAATGTCCAAGTTGGGTGTCCGGACAACACCCCCAAAGAAATCATGCCCTTCCGTAACTGTAGGTCTGAACTCAGCATCCAGAATGGATGCTTGCTGTGGGGCGCAGGAGTTATTGTCCCCAAGAAATTTCGGTCACGTTTCCTTGACGAACTACATGATGCGCATCCAGGTGTCGCAAAGACGAAGTGGTTTGCTCGATTTTATGTGTGGTGGCCTGAATAAGACCGTGATATAGTGACGAAGGTTGGAAGTTGCAGACCTTACCAGGAGAGCCGAAACGCTGCTCCTCATGCGCCAATGCACCCTTGGAATTGGCCAGAAACACCCTGGAAACGAGTCCACGTGGACTATTTCGGTTCCTACGAAGGTCGGGTGAATTTGCTAATCATCGATGCCCATTCTAAATTGAGTGATGCTCATATTCTTGGTTCAGCAAATGCCGCTGGTACTATAGAGAACCACCGCACAACGTTCGCAACATTTGGCATTCCCGAGACATTTGTATCTGACAATGGACTAGCGTAAGCCAGTGCTAAGTTTTCTACCTTCCTCAACTAGAACGGCATCAAACACATAACAACTGCACCCTATTATCCTTCTTCTAATAGGTTGGCGGAGAGAGCCGTACAAACAGTGAAGACGCTGCTAATAAAACAACCAAATGCTCCGCTGCGTGTGTGTTTGGATCGTTCCATTGTGCGCAAATCGAAACATGCCATACGAGACCACAGGCAGAAGCGCAGCAGAGTTAATGTTTGGTCGTCGACTGCGTACACGATTGGGTTCGTTGCGTGGATCTACCGAGCCACAATTTTCGGAAAAACAACAACGAGTGAAAGACCGTTTTGATAATTGTAGCAGAGACAAGCATGTGACAAATTCAGATCCCATCTACATCCGCTTACCTACAGGCTCGGGCTGGGAGCCAGCCGTCGTTAAAACAACTAACGGACCGCAAATAGAAGCAGAGACTGAGGATGGCAGGATCGTTCGACGCCATTTAGATCATGTGCGACCGAGATTGTCCGACACAGAAACAGTTGCCGAGACAGAGCAGCAAGCTCAAGCATCGCACGACGTGCACGTTCGTGACACCGAACCGGTGATCTGAGCGCTGCCGCCGACCGGTTGATCGTTTCCAAACTGGATATCACCAAATTAAGGTTGGAGAAGTGATACAGACGTTGAGCGCGTCAATGTCATGCTACACTACCTAGCCTGTGCAGCAGCATTGTGCGCGCTAGTGCGTGGGTGTCCATCTCCCGAATAACCAGCAATGCTTACTGATTTGTTCAAAAGCGAGTGCTTAGCTAAACATGTGAACTGCGTAAAAACTAAACAGTTGCTCTGTATCGGATGAGGCTGGACCTTAACGTAGTGCGGTGGTATGTGTGCCTCAGTGATCCATTGAGCTACACTGGGTGGTGCTTTTGCACCTTCAGAGCCACTCATACAAGACTGGTCAATGGTTAGAGGCCAGACAAACTCAGCCTCCTGGTCCTCCAGGTTGGGGTTTCGAATGAGGGTGGCACGGTATTCCTTAAAACGGACTCCTTGTAGTCCAGTGCCAAACCCGCTGCCTTGAGGCCAGGTTTTTGAACTAAAGGCTTTGGTTGAGAACCCTAATAGTTCTTCTGTCTAGACCTGGGCAACCTGACATTATCCTGCTCACGCAATACAATGAATCCTTCCCCAAACAAATTTCTGATGCTCTGTCCACCGCAGAGGATAATCAACGGTGCCCTATCTGCTGCATCTAGCAGGATGGATAGGGGTTTGGATGTTACTGCTCAAGCCTTCCCATCTTCTTATTCCCCTTCTTGCGCTTCTCACCCTTATCGTCCCGTTTCAGCTTCACTTTGATTCCCCCTGTTTTCAACCCCCAATTCTCGGCCCTCCCCCACCTTGATTCAATAGTCGCTTGTCTTTTAGTTTCAACTCACAGATGAACGCGGTGCGTCATCCCTTCACTGTCAACTGGCCCGTGTCCAACCAAGCGACCCATTCCAGTTCATCGGCTTCCATTTGGAGCCCTCGATCCTTCTTCAGATGGGTATGCCTCAATGTTCGCACATTGCTTCAGATCGGTCAACAGGCAGCACTTGCCCGAACATTAGAGAACATCTCGATCGATATCTGCTGCTTATCAGAGACTCGCCTGCAAGACTCGAGCTCTGTACTCATTCTGCGATCCCCTTCAGGTGACGCTTGCAGCACTTTCTTATTGCGCCTATCCGGTGACGATGCAGCTTCGAGCACCGGCCAAGCCGGTGTTGGTATTGCCTTGAGTCCCCGGGCTGAAGCTGCTCTGGTTGATTGAATTCCAATCAGTAGCCGTATGTGTGCGGTCCGATTGGCTGGCTCGTTCAAAACTTCGAATTCGCGTGGGACTACCAGGTGTCTATTCGTTATCGCTGCCTATGCACCGACAAACTGTAGAGATGACTCGGTAAAAGACGACTTATATCGCCAGCTGAACAAACTCCTTCGCCACAGAAGAAGCTCGGACACCGTAGTGCTGGCTGGGGATCTGAACGCCCAAGTTGGAAAATTATCCACTGATGAGCTGCATTTGGGCGGCCAACATGGTATAGGCTCCCGTAAAGATAACGGTGATCGGTTACTTCATTTGTGTGAGGATGCTGGCTTGTTTCTTGCAAGCACTAATTTCCGACACAGCACCTGCCGGAGGGTGACTTGGAGCCCACCAGCCTCGAACCAGCTATGGACGCAAATCGATTACATTGCTATCAGTGTCCGTTGGAGAGGCTGCGTCCAGAACTATCGCTCAATTTGGAGCACATGTGTGGACACCGGTTATGCACTTGTATGTGCTGATCTGCGGATGCGCTTTGGCGGACACCTGCGACGATGTTGTGAGCGCATTGACACCGGCAGACTGGTAAATTCAGCTGTTCTAAACGCCTATCAAATTACGCCCTCATCCGAGTTGGATAAACGCTCACTGGATGCAATTGTAGCTCACTAGTCTCATATGCAACAAGCCTTACTAGCAGCAGGCATATCCTCATGTGGTAATTCTAATCGCCACCATGAAAATTGGGTTTCTTCGCAGTCGCTGGAACTTATAGATGCTCGCCGGCATATTCCGGCTGGAAGCGAACACAAGGAAACTCGCAAAGAGCTCCGGACAAAACTCCGTGCTAGCCTGAAGAGAGACCGCGAATCCTGGTGGTCTCGTCGTGCAACAGAGATGGAAGTGGCCGCTGCCCTTGGTAACCATCGTGAGTTATTCCGTCTTATACGGGAAACGGGCAGCAGAGACCTGGTTTTAGTGAAAATATACGTGACGCGAGTGGGCAGCCTATCCACAACTTATCAAAACGCCTGGAACGTTATGCTGAGCACTTTGAAAGGCAATTTATTTGGTCGGAATTGTTAGATTTCTGGCCGATCGGTGATCGAATCGCTCCGTGGACTGTTCCTTTGGATCTACCCTCTCGCTCAGAAGTCGAACATGAGCTCAAACTGTTGAAGTTAAATAAAGCCGCGGGACCTGATGATTTTCCTCCAGCCCTCTTCAAATTCAGGGGAACTGCTCTTGTGGACGATTTACACGAGTTACTAGTGAGACTGTGGGTGCAGGAAACTGTCCCAACCGATTAGAGCCGCACCATCATAGTCCCAATTTACAACGGAGGCTCACGATCGGAATGCGGCAGCCATAAAGGAATCAGTCTTATCTCCATCGCCTCTAAATTGCTTGCCTCTGTCATTCTTCACAGACTGACTGGCACTCGTGAAAGCCAGATTCGTGAAGAGCAAGCTGGATTTCGTCAAGGTCGTAGCTGCATTGACCACATCTTCACCTTGCGTCAGTTGTTGGAGCACCGTCACACGTATTGGCGGCCCACCGTTGTCGTGTTCCATGATATCAATGGTGCATTCTATTCGGTGGATAGACATGCACTTTGGGGCTGTCTACTCAGGAAAGTGTACCTGAGAAATATGTAAATATTATCCGAGAATTAAATGCGCGTAGGTCGGGCAGAGTGCGGGCTTACGGCAAGTTGTAGTCGCCCTTTAATATCTCCAGCGGCATGAAACAAGGATGCCCGCTGTCAACTTACCTTTTCAAATTCGCTGCTGACGAAGTCATGTAACTCGCATTCACAGGACACGACTTAGAAGGTGTGGATCTACTCTCAGGAGAACGACTTCTTGACTTAGAGTATGCTGATAATATTGCCCTGATCTGTGACAGCTCACAAACGTGCCAAGCGGCACTGGACAGATTAGCGCTAGCTGTCCGTCACTTCGGGCTTTGCTTCGCACCCTCGAATTGCAAAGCGTTTCTCCAAGATTGGTCTGGACCGCCTCCTACGCTGACCCTTGGTGGGGATCAGCTAGAAGTCTTTCAAAATTTCAACTACCTGGGAAGTTGTATCAGCGCCCGTGGGATTGAAGATGAAATCACGAATCGTATAGCAAAAGCTCGGGGCGCTTTTGCTAACCTTCGCCACTTATGGCGCCGGCGCGACATCAATCTTGCCCTGAAGGGTAGAGTGTACAATGCAGCGGTACGTTCGACCATATTGTACAGTTGTGAAACCTGGTCGCTTAAAGCAGCGGAAGTGAAGATGCTAGTTACGTTTGACCACCGGTGCCTTCGCAATTTAGCTCACATCTGGTGTTAACACCGCGTGAGCAACGAGCGTGTTCGACGCCTTATTTATGTCAAAGGAAAAGGAAATGAACCGCTCAGCACCGTTATTCCACGCATAAGGCTCCGATGGCTCGGCCACGTGTTACGCATGCCAGCCCACCGACTTCCGCGGCGTGTGTTGTTTGCGCGCCGGGGTGTGGATGGAAGAAGAGGAGGCGTGACCAAGCGATGACTTGGTCCATAGGAATGAAGACCCTCCTTTCTGAGCTGGCCTCGGTTGGAGCGCCTCGGCTCCCTGGTTGGGGTCCGAAAGACGATGAACACGTTTGGTTAGACACACGTGCCGATAAGGCTAGGAGCCGACCTCAGTGGTGTTCGTGCTGTGAATTTCTTTGTCCCACCCCATCCCTCTTAGCCTCCCCTCCAAACACGATCTCATTACTTAGCCTTATATAATTTTGCATAATATTTTTTTTTGGTGCACAGCAGCCGGCTGGTAGCTTACCGGAACGATGCCCATCCGTTACCGGTAGCTCAGCCAGCTTGCATCAGTTTCTCTTTTTTCTCTCCTTTTTTCTATATATTGCAACACAGTAGCTGAGTTGTTCCCCACCTCTTGCTAAAGTGTATGATGATGATGATGACCCAGTGCGGACTGCCGATATACTATTGCCATTGCTTCTACTAAAAGTCCATTTGCAATACTGTTGTTCTGATTTCGGTTGAGTGTAACAGGGAGTTATTGATTTTATTCTGTCAACCGACGTGGTTTTATACAGAATTTCTTGGAGTCTCCTTGCCTTCATGAGCAAAGCTTATATATTCCTTTAAAAACGGTGGCCAAACGTAATGGAAATAATAGCATGGACACAAAGACATCAAAACTTACAATGCGCCGCATGTAAACCTTCCGCGTTTTTGAAGATTGAGCCTGTTTGGCAAAGAACCGAAGGGGTGAGGGCGATTACAGCAATAGTAATATTAAGGAGCACATAAGTAAGGGTAAATAGCGAGAGGCGCATTTTCCAACCGAGTTAACTTGAAATGTATTCTCCTGTCCTACCTTTATCTATTAACTGTAGTTTTTGTGTTTTCACATGGAAATAAAATCAGGGTATGAAGCAGTAGCACGCTAGATATGCCATGAAAACCACAGGCGAATTATGTTGTCTTCATACGTGCATGTACGGACCATTAACAAGGAAGCTTGGCGTAAACTTGTTACCTAATATTGCCTGTATTGCAAAACCATCCATACTGGTGGCAAAAATAAGAGCGTAACCACCAGAAGCGTCCTATCCGGTAAGAGCGAAAGCGCGATGGTTTAACTATGGAGCCATAGAATGTATTGTCATAAGTCAGGGGTGTGTCGTCGTGACAGATACCGAATTCAAATCTTTTCTTTTGAATTGGGTAATTTCCGTAGCACACCCTTTAAATTCTTCGAGAAAAATTGGAACAAGAATCATTGGGGTTAACACAACAGCCAGTCCAAATAATAATCCGGCTTTTTATCGCGCTTAGACACATATGCTATGGCTGTTCATGAAAGAGGGAGCGAACGAAAGGTATAGGTCGTGCAGCGCCTCTGATATGAGTGTTTGTTCTGTAGTATAGTCGATCAAAGTGCCCTTATTAGACCAACCATGCTAAAGAGGATTCTAACTCTAAATGTGCGGTTGCCTAAATACCAACCGGTACATTGTTTTATGACTTGGGTTTTTAGATGGTATTCACCTCCTATCTTCAATACTTAAAGTTCAGACGGGATGGAGGAGCATAAAAGCTAAGCTTAGCTGCTGAGACTCTGAATAGGTTGGAACCACAATAATAGGATTGCTGTGTTGTCAAACAGTGGAAGACTAGTATAAGAGGGAGCACTCTCTCCATTAATCGATGAGGAAAATGTCCCTATGAAACAAAGGGAATAGCTTGAAAATAAATGGGGCACATTAGTGCATACCTCCGTCTTCCTCGACGTGCGTTCGTCTAATTGCGATTGTGGTACCAGAAATGCAACAAGCAGGCTAGAGCGGATTGAGAATTGTTCATAACAATCCGGCCGCAAAGGACTTATCTAACCCTATTCTTACTTAGGAAGGAAATTCTAAGTGTGGAGACAAAGCGAGGTACTTGGATTCCAAGCGATGGACAGTTAGTAAGTGAATGCAGGACCAAACTGCTTCTAAAAACTAAGATGAATCCGGTGATCTCGTATAAAAGCAGGAGTAACGAAACTAATTTGATTGCATAGAACTGTTCAATCCTTAAAGATGCGCAAAAATGAGAATTATCTATTAAGTCAGCAATGCTTAAACATCGGACGGAATGCTGATCAACGGTACATAATTGTCTTGTGGTCGTTTGTCGCAATATGAAATGTCTATGAAAACGAGCGCATAAAATCATGGAGTATTCGGAAGGATACGGAGCGGAATGCCACGTGTTCATGATGTGACGGCCGAGCTGGATTCGTGGAGGCAATCTTTGTCTCACTAACTTGTCTGCAACAACGGCATGGGTGCTGCAACCTGATCAAAATTTCCGACCTGTGGTCAAATTCAAGATTTGCAACATTGGATCGTTTGCATGTGGTAACGAAAAGTTTAGATCAACGGGTGGTGCTAAACACTAAATGCAAAGCGTAAAAAGAGGGAATTCGGATATGAATGAAATAAGCCAGCAATGATGGACATGTTTATGCATATGCAAACAGTCACGGGCATTTGTATGAGATAAACAAACAACGCTCCATTTTTAATCTAACAATCCTAAGCTATGAAATAACATCATGCTAGACGTTTACACTTCAGACATCTTCCTGATCGAAATCCTTAGGTAATTGAGCAACGAAACCAGTGTGTCATCACGTTATACAGATCGATATCATACGGAAATTATAAATTGACGGTAGAATGAAGAACGTTTTCGCGGTGGCGGCCAGTGACGACGTATTATTATGGAAAGTTCGTTCGTTCCCAAAGTAGTTGGTTAAAAAATAGTACTCATCACCCTAATGAATTTGGAGGCGAAAACGCTCTTCCCACTGCTACAGGTACACGCTTTTACTGTCTACAAACCAATGTAACTTGATTTTTGTACAAGATGGGCTAAACTCTTGTCACCAAATTCCCGCGTTCTTGAGTTGCAAAATGGGATGATCCACGGAAGCAGAAACGTTGGCTATAGTTCCCGGGCAACTAATGAAACATGATACAATTAACTAGAAAGCAGCATCCCATAGATGACTTTGCGACATTACCTCCACTACCAAACCAAATAAATTGCCGCCGTAATTGATTCGAGTGTAGTAAACAACAAGTGCATACATGTTAGGGAGTCTAACACTTGATCCCAAAAACTCGCAAAACTACTTACTGATCAATTGGGGTGTAGATTAAACAGTCAATTTCAAAGATATGCACATGATACTTTATGGAATCTCTCGTTTACTTACAGCCGGAACATTGGCCTGGATTTCATCAAATATTGTGCGACTTTCATCCGTGATTCTATCAAATTCTGGACATTCGCCTTTGTTTGCATCGAATTATTTCATCGCCCAAGTTTTGCTCCACTTATCAGAATTCTTCATTAGATGGGTCTAAGCTCGGAAGGACGCACGAGAAAAATGACGTGCGAATCCGGGCTTTTGATGGTTTGGGTGTTTAACCAACCAGTATTGTTTGGTGACCTATGGCGTCATGAATACTGATGGGTTACAAGAGTGTACAGCGGGATGTTAACAACTTGTGAGAGCCACCAACATCGCTTCACTGTGTGAATAGCGCAGACACCCTGACCCATCCAATAAGAGGTCATTTCCCGCAACGATATGGAGGTCACGGGGTCAGTACGGTTGGTTCGCAGTGCGATGGACGTCACTGTTTTCCGCACACGATTACTGCTCAACCGACGCCCCCGTTTAAGTGATTCCAACTACATTGCTCTAGTGTTCACATGTATGACGCAATTCAGTATCTCATCCTGCCTGGATTTATGGCCCGATAAGCTTAACTACTGCCACTAACAATTGACAGTTTATGGGTAAATCTCCAAGCAACAAAGGGGACGAGTTGAACTCCGCGTACATACTTGTTCTGTACATTGAAGCTTGTGGAAGAGGTTATGAAAAAATTGCTGGCAAGTGTACAGCGGTATGCTTCAGCGTGAAAGCTACCATGAAAGTAGTCAGATAACTCAGTTAAATGAGAAGAGGGAGACCATTGCAAATAAAGATGTAGTAAGCAGAAAGTCGGCAAATGGAGAAATATAAGGCAGATTTAATGGGACCACAATTTAGCCTCATGCGTTGTATGGTCTGTGGAAGAGATTAGTTGATCCTAAGCAAGGAAGAACTACCACGTCCTAAGCAAAGCTTTGCTTTATTTTGCGTGCCATCTGATAGTAAGCGTGTACACAATGCATGCACACAATGACATATTTGCTTTCGTTTTGCTGACTGACAATGAGGCGGAAGTATTTGTCACCGTGAATTGGCAGGGACCGACGTGTCCTGTTGAGACCAAAGTAAGCAGTAGGTTCCCGTGTTTGGATATGCAAAATATGGAACCTCAAAATTGGTATTCAACTTAGCAGGTGGGGGAGGTGCCTGTTGAAGTAGTGCCGCTTCAGTTGCAGTCAGCCAGTGCGGAGTGTGGAATGGAATGTTTCGTTAGCCTAAGCAAACATTGAATCCGGCCGTAATTTAGAAAACGGTTTATGCACCTTCAGAGTTAGAACGGATTCTATGTACCTAAACACACATCAGTGTTTAAAATGGCTATAATTGAAAGTCAGCCCGAGAGTGTATATGGTAATAACAAACATTCACAACGGCTTTCCATAGTTATTAAAGAATATCTTATGAGATGCGACACAGTAGAAGAAAAGGCGAGGCGCAGTCTGACAAATCTATAAGAAGCATGAGGTTGCAAAGAAATACATCCAGCCAGGAAGTACTCGGGCGCTCCTACTTTGAGCTGTTAAGAATGATATGCTTCCAAGGCTATAGTTAACATCGCGTTTCGGCTACAGCGCACCTTTCATCCCACCTGTTTAGCCAAGATCTTATAGAAATCCCGGTAAACACGACGATACTTAATGTAATAGAGGGGTGCATTTTAGATTTGGAAAGGCGGAATTGGACAGGAATGATGTTTAAGCTCAAATAAAAATGGTACATAACGAAAGTGTTAGCAGATCTCTCGTTCTGAAGCGTGTCAACTATGGAAATATTTGTTCCACATGATTCAAACAAATCATGGGTGGTAGTTTAATCTTAATTGATTTTGGGGTTGCGTTGGTATTCGCTTATCTGAAGATCGGGTTCATCATGGTTCTCCGGATATAACACCGTCATTACAATATATTGGTTACCAATGAAGCTGTATAAAAACGTATCAAACATGGCGCGAAGAAATGCAATGGAGGAGGAATCATAGGTTTCGCATGCAGATATTTAACTCGCAATTGGTGACACCTTAATTTGTGGACTTCATTGTAAACAGTTTTGCGGACGACCTGTTTTGGTATTTTGGAGTAAAGTTGTAATCTTAACGCAAAAACGTCCTCAGGTAAGTAAATATTCACCCAAATGAAATAGCACGATTCCACAAAATGTGAAAGCGTCCAAAACTGGTTAAATGTGACTCACTGTAAGCGAATGAAATGGATACAACCCTAATTTTTGACTTGAAGGAATCCGTTTATACAGGTCATCTAGAATATTCTCCAAAAGTGGTTTTTAGTATAAATACAATCCAAAATAAAATACATTTTGATGAAGCTAGAAAAGGTCTGCCTTCAATTCACAACAACTTTTGTGATTTGGTAGCATTTTGGGACAATACTGCGAGGATTTGTCCATAAACCTCAAACAAGCAATATCTCCCTGTAATCAAATCCCATTTTCCCAGCATGCTGATCGGATGCGATTTATCGACACTGAAAATGTAGAAGCACAAAGAACATTTCTGAAGGCGTGACAGATAAGTCATTCGCGAAGTGTGCGTTCGCCTCTTCCGGCCATCAATGTGGAATTTCTATTAATGTAATGTAATGTAATGTAATTAACAAGTCATGCCAACTTTATTCGGCTTAAAATATCTTAGAATGAAAACTACAGGTACGCAACTCCCAAACACCGAACATATAGTTCCATTCCATTCCTGCGTTTCTCGCTGAAGAAGAGAACCATCGAGCCACCTAAATGCAATGTCCCAAGCACCTACGTATTTGAGCCTACAAACAAGGATGCAGTAATCCAGATAGGTGTATGACTTGAGCGGTCTGCTTACATGACATTGACCTTGTTATCGGTACCATTCATTTCATTCCAACTGCCACATAAACGATAGATATGCAGTAAATGACTGGTGTCGACGGAAGTTATGCTGTTTTAACACCACAATGTTAGGTTCTTCTAAATAGGCCCCCATGATATAACTCATGTTCTTTTTACCGCAATTGACAAGGTCACCTTGAATGTCAACTGACGATACCTAACGGGCTGGGGACCGTACAATTGTACGCAAATCCCGCGTAGTAAGGACTTACTCTTCGTCCTTGCAATCATGAAAAATATTAACCATGGCTTCAAGAGCAATGCAGTCGCCAAGCGCAGCGTTTCCAGTAGGGGCATCAGCTTTGGGAGAAGTGTTAGCGCAAATGTTTTTTTTATATATATATTACTCGTAAGCAGTAGGGTCTTAGTGTAATTATTGTAAGGTATTCATATCGGTAGTCCACAAGCTACATAGCACAGCCTAGTCCGAAAAAGCACCAGACGAGTTTCGCTCTATTGTGGTTCGTCAGTGGTGTGCATTCCCACTGTACAGTAATGGGTATCGAACCCATGACCGCTAGAGGTTGATGCCAACTAGCCAGCTGCCTAAGCCACTGGGCCATGGGTGGCGTCGACTTGGCTGCTAAATTTGCAAACTAACTGGGATATAGCACCACCTATCTTCCACTGTCACTGACAGTGGCTAGCCTGCGAGGTGATGAAGTCCTCTCACAAGACGCTATATCCAAAGCATCTGAAACTAGAAGAGACATTTCCGGACTAGACTGTGCTATGTAGGGTATGCTTTTTGTCAGCAAAAAGGCCTTCTGGACTCCTACTGCTGGTGCGTTACTTATACACATTGACATGTGTGATACAGTAGATTCCCTTCACAGGTATGTGCTTCCGATTTCGATGGTGAGCGCCAGACCGACTAATTTGTCATCATAGTTTCCTCCTGAATCTTCCTCCATCCTGATATTAGTGTTGGCAGGTATAGGAGAATTGATCAGCAGTAGCCTGACATTTGTGTCGAAATAATAACAATGTGCCTTAATTTTTCTAGAAAACTAGACGGTAACCCCGAGTTCGTAGCACATTGAACGGATCATTACCGTTGTTCTGACGAGTATATCTAGTGCCTATAGACCTGATTCGTATAACGAAAGATATTCAAAGCATAAATTTCACAATGTAATTCTTTTGAATTGTCCATTGACGGGGGTGCTGCTATCATGGGTTCTGACTACGTTGTACGAATTGCACATATATTATCAAGCCAGTTTACCGACAACCATGGGAAAAATGCATGGAGGGGCATTTTTCAGTAGCATCTGAAGGTTTGCATGCGCTTCACATACCGCTTTAAATGCTCTTATGGTCATGCAACCATACATATTAGAGCTTATCACCCAACAAGCCTTGAGTGCCGTCTTCATACTTCTCATCAGGTGTGCCGCTCTCAGTTACTTGCTTGCGAGTATTTTCTTTCATTTTTGTTGGGTCTATGACGTCGACTAGATGCAAGAATCAACCAGCCGTCATGCTTCTATGTTGACCGTCCTACACATCGCGTGTGCGCTCATTCATAAATCGGTTAGGGCTAGCAAATGCGAGGTCGATCACTTCATTCAACATTTTAAATTAATTTAACTCCCAATGTTCAGTCGTGCTGTTGCCAATATGTAAAACAAAACAAGCGTTCTTGTTATACAAACAACAATCGTATAGCGATACCTCTGGCCGCTTTTGCCAATCTCTGCCAACTAGGGCGCTAGGTGACATCATTTTCGCTCTGAATGTCAGAGTTTACAATACAGACGTCCTTTCGAACCTCCAGTAGGTAGTAAAATTTGGATTATGAAGTGACCAGACAAAGTGATGCTTCTTACATTCGACCGTCATCGCATTTGCAGCTTAAATCATAGCTTTTGGTAACGCCGCCTGCTGCGCCGCGCATTTGATGCAGCAAGAGCTAGAGAGCCGCTCAGCGCAGTTATATCACGCACCAGGCTCACCAGGTCCAGTTCAATGGGAATCGCGGTCAACATTGAGGTTGCATGTCGCAATCCATACACACAACGCACAATTTGAAATGTCCCCCAATATATATGGTTATTCGTTGTGCCAAACGTTGCTCGTCTTGACCCAGTGGTTAGCGTTGGCGATCACAATTAACACTCCAATGGTCCCGTGTCCAATGCCTGCTAACTCTATC